GGGGGGGGGGGGGGGGGGGGGGGGGGGGGGGGGGGGGGGGGGGGGGGAATAACGGTTTTAGGGGAGTTTAGGGAGAGCGAATACACAGATATTATGCTGCAGCGGAGAGAGGCAGGGACACTGGTCTTAACGTGGAGCGGTTCGCTATGCCAGGTCTCGGACGGGTTTTAGGAGACGACATGTCACCGCTGTAGGTGATATTTTAAAAAAACATTAGCGCAGGTATTCGTTCGTTTTATTCCTGCGAAGAGGCTCGTTTTGTACATGCCGTCCGTCTAAATTGGATACCGAACAGGGGGCGGGAGCGCGAGCAACAAGTGGAGTTTGGCGCGGAGAGGCCGAATATTTCTCACCGTCAGCGAGCTATGGAGGAGCGGAAGGAGCCCAACGGCAGCCGGGACTCGATCGAGGAGGAGAGCATGTCCCTGTCGCCGAACCTCCCATCTCCTCCCGTGATTTTACCCCACCAGGCGGCCCAGCAGGCCCACCGAACCACGAACTTTTTTATTGACAACATCCTCCGGCCGGACTTCGGCAGCAGGAAGGAGCCGAGCTACCGCGACCGGAGCCGGGAGACGCCGGGCAGGGAAAACGTCAACCCGCTCGGAGCGAGGCCGCCGCACACCGGCAGCCTCTGCCTGGACTCCAACTGCAGCAGCGACAGCCCTTCTTCGTCGCCCTCCTCCTCGTCCTCCTCGTCGTCGTCGTCATCCACGTCCTCCTCGCCCTCGTCCAAGCAGAAGTCGTCAAAACAGGGCGAAGTGGCGGGCACCGGGACCGGCAGATACGCGGACAGCCCCTCGTCGATTATGGTCGTGAGCGGCAGCAATGGAGGATCTCCGCCCACGAAAGAAAGCCAGCCGATGTTGTGGCCCGCTTGGGTTTACTGTACGCGGTACTCGGACCGGCCCTCATCTGGTAAGGCGCTAATAGTCCCCGAATCATACCGCCTGGGGTGTTTGAGTGCCGGGGAACTTTGTTGGGTTGACTGATCGTCTTCCTCCACAGTATTATTAAACTCCTTCAGAGTTATGTGTGTGTATTTTAGTTGTATCTGCAGGCTCGTTCTTCCCACTGTCACTTCAACTCAGCCAATAAAGAAACTATTATTATTATCTTTTTTTTCATTATGAAATAGAGACAGACATTACCAAAATAAAAAGTAATATAGTGTAAGGTCATGAACCAAACAGGTAATTCATTTCCAATACTCGTCTCACATACACACACACATACACACACACACACACACACACACACACACACACACACACACACACA